TATGATGAGTAGGATATGTCAGAAGAGTATTATGAACGAGATCTAGGCTAGGTGCCGCAAAGTTTTGGCTTTTACAAACTGCGATCTTGAATTTTTTTTTGCGAAATGGAGTAAAGATGCGATTTTCAGAAAAGACCGAAATCCAGTTTCTGAGAATATAGCAACCTCCGAATATGCCTAACGCAATATTGGTATGCTTCGCCATATTCGGTTTTCAAAAAAAAAAAATTGCGAGATTGAATGGAAATGCGATTTTCAGAAAAGAATAATTTCAGTTTCCGAGAATATGACCACTTCTATCGTTATCCCAATATGCCTAGAGAACGAAAATACTAACTTCAGAAATTTCAGCTATGTATGCGAAATATCAGAGAAACGAATTGCTACTATCGGGAATTTTCAGACAAAACGAAATGCGATTTATCAGAAATTTTCAGATATTTGTCACGTAAAAACGAACTACTAATATCAGAAATTTTCAGATAGAACGAAAATGCGAATATCAGAAATTTCAGATAGTTGTTGCGAGAATTTTTTTTTCAGAGATTTGACTAAGTCCTACTTGCGTTACTAATGAGTGATCAATAGATCGCAAGCTGGCTACTTGATTGAGTGGGTCCTCTGAATGAGAGCTCCGCTCCGATACCAAACTGTTGCATACTGTAACGTGCAGACCAGAACAAGAACTGACCTTTCAATACAAAGTATAAGATAGCACAACGGAAGACTTAGATACCAGTGATCCGAACAATCAATGTTGAAATGCAGCCCTGAACATACATCATCATCATCGTTACATGGTGTGAAATGGGCCTGGCGCTTCACACAGGAAGACTGCGCCAGCCCATACCATACACAGACGAAGAGGAAGGGGATAGACGAAGAGGAGGGGGAAGATGGGAATGTCGTCAACACCAAGTCTTCGGCACAAGCCCAAAYAGTMCCTCGTCGRAATGTCTGAATCCCAAATGTCAAGTCTGGATCCAATGTCGTCGAGTCTCAAGTCACAACTCTGTCTCTCTCTGTCGTAGTCTGAGAAGTCAGGTGGCGAGAGGGTGAGAAGAGAAGGTGGACTTAGAGGAGGAAGAAGAAGAACTCTCTCTCTCTCTCTGTGTCCAGTACTAACCTGTGAAGTTGGCGCCTTGATGCAGGTACCACGAAGATGGAGCTGGAGCGATGGCGCCACAGGTAAGTACCACTGGCCTCCGCCAGTCTCTCTCCCACTCTACGATCTACCACCTACCAGCGCCCAGCGCTGAAGACTACAGCTACAGCTATGGCGCCCAGCGCCAAAGACTACAGCTAGCGCTAATCCTACCTAGCGCTGATCACTGTTCATGGAGATTATGCAGCTGGTTTGGCCACCATGCTGTTTCATCGGCCGGCATCCCGACTCGCAGACTTACTGGAGCAGGAACTTGCGACATGGATACTTGCATGTCTGCAACTTACCTGCTTCCAGATCAGACCTCATTGCAGTTCATGTACCGGACGCACCCTAGCACTTGGACTTTGGACATGTGGACTACTGCTACGCTTCTTGGACTTCTACCCGTTGCAGCCACTGAAGACCGCTTCCACCATCTACTCCAAAACCTGATCAAGACAGTTGCAGACCTCCTTTCAAGACACTCGGACACATTGTTCCCACATGAGATGTTGCTTCTTCGGAGAAAACCAGCCTTTGCATCCTGAACAAACATTTTCATTTTTTTTAATTTTTTTTTCCCGACTTTGACAACCCTGTAGAACATCATTAGCAATACCCTGTTTTCCTGAACACCGTTTCCCTTACCCAGTAGAACATCAATAGAAGTTCCCTGTTCCCTGAACTTTGTTCCCCCTTAACCTATAGCAGACCATGCAATCCTCTTAGTTCATCAGTAGGACTACCCTGCTCCCTGTCGTCCCTTCAGTTCATTTGTAGGACTACCCTGTTCCCTGCAAGCCCCCCTAGTTCATCAGTAGCACAACCCTGTTCACCGGTACCAAACCCTGTTCCCTCTTACTCCCGCAGCCCATGCCACCCACATTATACCCCTCTTCCCTTTCGACTTGTTRACCAGTGATCGGCCCCGTCCCGTCCTTCACAGATTTCAGCATTGCTTCATGATTTTTGGCAGCCGGGACGTTGCCTTCTAGAGGGAGGGGATAGTGTTACGGACTACACCAGGGCTCGATCCCTGGTCTGCGGGACGCTACCCGCAGTTCACTGCACACATCTTCTTTTCTTTGTTATCTTATTTTTAATTTTCTCTTTGTTTTATTTTTCTCCTTGTTTTATTTTTCTGATTTCGGACATTTGGCGCCATCGGGCATTCTGGCGCCCATTTTCAAACTTTCGATTTTCAGCTCAGCCCTGGGCAAATTGCACTTCTGCCCATCGGACTGAACTTGAGTCCGATACTTAAGATCGGACCCAAGCCCAGTACGGCATTCAGTTTGCGGCCTCAGTGCTTGTGCTTCGGTGTGACTTGCCTCGACATTGTGTTCGGAAATCCAAGACTTCGACTTCGCGACTTGGCCACTTCGTGTCTGCGTCCGTCGAGTCGTGTCGAGTCTGCGTCGAGTTGAGTGAGTGTGTGTGTGTGCTCTCACTCTCTCCCTCTCTCTCTCAGCCTCGTTGCCTTGCCTCTGCCTCAGCCTCGTCACACCTTGCCTTCGGCATCGAGGTACATAAGGTGGCCCCCTTTTTTCTTCCAATCCTGGGGAATCTTCTTCTTCCTCCCGTCTATTGGCGCCTGCTGTGCACTCCCAAGCTTTGCCTCCAGGTCCAAGGCCTTCTTACTAAAAAACAAGGGAAATCGTGCACATTGGTGGAGGCCTCACTGACAAATATATTCGTTAGGTCATATCGCACCCCGGGGACAATGATCAGTCTCTCTACAACGTCGGTAACATCACAGACAGATTTGTACTTCCTCGAGTCCAATTTAGTCAACACGCCGGCAGCCTTTTGCGCGTCTTGGGGGTCGTGCCACCTTTCCTCTACCAACGTCAGAAACTCCTCCAGACTGCGGGCCTGAGCCCAACCGTCGAAGTTACGACCGTATCCATCATGCTGTACCAACCCATCTAACCACCTCGCTGCAGAGCCTACTAAGTAGTATGCAGCCACGTAGGTTGGCACAGTCCTCTTTGCAGCTGCCAACACTATCTTTGGAACCCATTGGCCCTGCTGTCCAGCAGCCTGTGCCTGCGGTGCAGGTTGCTGTACCTGCTGCTGTGCAGGTGGCTGGACCGACTGCTGCCCTGTAGCTGCAGCAGCTGACTGAGAAGAAGAAACCAGAGCCTGCAAACTACTTGTTAACGGACCACCTGATGGAGGGATTCCAAACTGAGGGAAAAAGGGACCCGTCATCGCTGGCATTGTCATCAGTGGTGGGACTGCAGACTGCCGCCTGACACTGGGCCCTACGGTCGAGGAAGGAACTTGCCTTTCAGCCCTTCTCTAGGCTTTCAGTATCTGGTCAAGGCCGGATAAGATTTGATCCAACTTGCTGTCCTGTACAGCAAGAGTCTCATAGACACCTAGCATCCCTGTCTTCAGGGCCAGCTCAGCATCGCTGAGGTTAAAGTCATCCAGTTCCTCTATTCTGCTCCTGTACGCTTCCCTACTGTCCAGTCTGGCTTTATGTGTCCTAGCTCTTTTAACTCTATGCGCTGCATCCTGTACTTGGGCTCGTAACTGAGTCTGGAGAGCCACTGCCTCCAGTAACTCGAGGTCTTCCTGCGTAAGGCGAAGTGGCTGGACTGCAAACCAGCCATCTGACTCGAGGATGCACCCAGACTAACAACTAGGGGGGGAGACTATGATACAGCCTGCGTGGCTTGAGTGTGCTGCTGCTGCTGCCATCGCTAATGCTCAGCTGCTAGTGCCTCTCTTGCCACTTGAAAACACCTAGCTACAGCTTCTGCACGCAGCTCTCTCTTTTCTCCCGGTGGCAAAACATGGAACACAGCAGGTATGTTACGAGCACACCGCGGGCCCGCCGTGACAACCTCCTGACAGCTCTCTCCTCCTCACTACTGCTCCACTCATCAGCTACCGCAGATCACAATCTGCACTCGTGTCCTCACTAGGACCTACCGGAGCACTGTGTCCAAACAAATTGTAAAAATAAATAAATAAATAAATAAATAAATAAATAAATAAATAAATAAATAAATAAATAAATAAATAATTAGTCAGTGCTCTGCTTTCAAACGCAGTTCAGATGGTGTGACCAGAAGTACACAAACTCTTGCAAACGATCTAATTTCTACTCAATTAGTTCTGAAACAGATGCGAAGCAGAAGCATAATAAAAAAAATAAACATAAAACAATTCTGTTCTGACTACGCCTGTCTGTCACATGTCAGCAGTCTGTACATCTAAACTAATCAAAGCAAAAATTTGATCACATGCATGTGCAAGGAAAATGAGCAATAGCTAAATGACATAATTCCAGAATGCAAAATCATATTGAAAGCCAGGAAGTCCAATGCTGGTCAAAAAGCAGAATTGCACCGACATATCACCAATGGAGAACCAAAGCGCTGAATCTGAATCTCAATGCGAGCATACTCTCGCCATCACCAACATAAGTATCCAAAGCCTGTCCTCCTACTTGGCGCTCAGCGCCCAGACTACTATCACGCAGCTACTACCAGCCTACGAATTGACAATGCAACTTGTTGACGTCAGCAGCAGAACCGAAGTACATGAAGATGTCGACCCTTGTAGACTATCGCCAATACCAGGTATGTGCCCTCACATCGTCCTCCTCATCTCTCTCTCTCTCTCTCTCTCTCTCTCGACTTGTCTACCCACGTCTTCCTCCCATATACGAAGACCACCACCACCTCCGCTGACTGTATCCAAGCCAAGCCTGACTATGGTTGGGCTGGCTATGGCGCTGCCCTCAGCAGCGCCCTTCCTCACTACCGCACGCGCACGTGCGCTTGCATCCAGCAGCTAGAGCAGCAGCCCGCGAGCTATCGCTCCAGCAGCGCTGCCGCATCTGCTTGCAAGTGCCCAAATGTCGCCTCCGGTGCCCTGCCCTTTCCTATATGGAAAGTGGCGGGCACATTGCTTGCTTTCCCCCCATGCGAGACCGAGTTCCCAGTAGCTTCAGTCCTGACCAAAGTGTTTGTGCCCAAGCCCTTTCGGATAGGGGCTTGGGACTGATTTGGTTAGGCATGCCCAACTGCCCAGGCGCAAATGTGCGATGCTCCCTGCGTTGACCACGTTGCCGGAAGAGCCTGGAGGGCTCACAAATATTGCGGATTCTCAAGAGCAATGCGGATGTAACCAACTGGGGCGTAGCAACTCTCTTACGCCGACCAAGGTTTTGCAAAAATTGACGAGTTTAGGGGCCTGCCATCACTTAGGGCGGGCACGTGCCTGATGCAGGGCCTTATGTAGTTATGCCAACGGATCAAACCTTCGCACTCCCTCCGCTACTTTGATAATCCTTTGAGAAGTCGTTATGTAGCAGGCTGCTTCCGTTTTAGATTTCATTCGTAACTGGAGATTATCTGGGGAACAGTCTTCATTAGTTTTTCTCTTGTAAACCACCGATGTTCTTTACGATCAATATGATGTCTGAACAGCACTGGATATTGCATCCGCGATTTCGAAGGATGTCCCCTGCCTGAAGGCTTGGGCACATGCATCAACTTGTGCTCAACAATATCATCAATGTCCACATGTCCGTCCATGGTTGGGGGCATTGATCTTCTTGAGGGAAATTGATCAGTGATAGAGAGAGGTGCCAACTTTGATGCATGGAAGACAGGGTGTGTATGTAGGTGTCCAGGGATGCGAATGACGTATGATGGGCCATCTGGTTGTTCTCCCACTATATGAAGAACTTCCCAGGGGCCAAAGTACTGTGGCATCAGCTTACATGAGATTCCTAATTCCTGCCCCAACTCAGATGACTTTACCCAGGCTCGTTCACCTACCTGAAACTCAGATGACCGTCTATGTCGATTCTCAGATGCGACCATGGCATCTTGAGCTTTCTTGATGTGATCTACAACCGCTGCAACATCTGATCGTATTTGACAACAAACTCTATGCTGCCAGGTGATGCAGTTGCCGATGTTTAAGTAACAACAAGTCTAATGCAGATTTGGGCTTCCATCCAAGTTGCAGTTGGTTGGGAGTCATGTCGGTAGTGCTGAGCACGTCGTTATTGTACAGGCTGGTGATGAGGGGTAACTTCTCGTCCCAATCATCTTGACTTGGCTTAATGTAATGCCGAAGCATGTGCTGCACTACCCGATTCATCTGTTCAACCTGTCCATTTGACTCAGGGTGATGCCCTAATGTCATTTGCAGTCGGGTACCCATCTGTTGGGCTGTACTTTGCCACAATTCACTAGTGAATCTAACATCCCTGTCACTCACAATAGACTTAGGGAGACCAAAGTCACGTACCCAGTTGTCCATAAATAGCTTGATGATGTGGTCAGTCCTAGCTGTCTCAGGCATAGCGATTAGTCTAGGATACTTTGTGAATCTATCCACAATGACAAAGATGTGTCGTTTACCGCTCGTGCTGGTCACAAGGGTATCCATGAAATCCATGGACACACTCTGACCTGGACCAGCAGGAATGGGCAAAGGCTTTTAAGCCCAAGCAGTGCCTGCGTCCGTGGCTTGTCACACTGACAAACTTGGCAAGTTTCTACATACTTCTTTGCATCATCCATCATTGTGGGCCACCAAAATTTTTGCACTAAGTTTGCTGCTGTCTTTTTATAGCCAAAATGTCCAGTTGCATACCTTCCTCGCGATTCTGGGGGCGATTCTTAGAGACAAAGACTAAGATATACCTTCCTCGCGATTCTATTTTTTGTAGTTATAGAAAGATGACGCACACATGCAACCATAGTTCTCCACAAGTCTGCTAGACTTAAACTTTTGCATCCTAACGGTCCTTCCGTTGGTAACTTGTGGATCATTACCTTCCTATCTCAATCGAATTGAGGCTTAGCAACCTCGAGGTAGTACATGCCTAGCAACATGTCGAATGGCAGCTCGTCGCTAACAAGGAACGACATTTTATGTCTCAGTTCCCCTGCTCCATAGGAGAAGGTGCAAACTACGTTCTTGACGTAGTCCTTTACTAGCATAGAGTGCTTGTTGGCTAAGGTAGATGCCACATATCTGCTAAGCTGCTGCACCTGGTCCCCTAAGCGCAGCCTATCCACACAAAGCACGACCGATGAAGTTTCGTGTAGAACCTATGTCTGCGAAGGCGTCAACCTTTCGGCCACCTACATTGACTTTTCTACCACGAAGTGTTTACCTTTTGGACCTTTGTTCGACATCGCCCAGGAGTCTCTAGGGTAACCACTCAGTTTCTAACTCCTCTAAGAACTCAGACACATCCATCAAACAGAGCATCGATTGGTCTAGATCTGTCTGTGGGGAGATCAATGGGTCAATAGCCTTGACCATCGTCTGAAATAAAGAAGGTAAGGTTACCACTTAGGCACGAGTAAGAGCGGCTAACACACTACTGGCCCAAGGTGTTTCCCTGCGAAGTGCTCACAAACGCACCACCAGAGTTTGAAGATTCCACACTATTGAGGATGCGACCTTCGTAGCGACCCGCTTACTCTTGCACTTGGCCATTGTGTGCCCATATTGGCCACAACTGAAGCAAGCACCTCAAGCAACACGGTATCGCCACACCTCGTACTCTAGACCCATATGGGTGTTCCTTGGTCATATTGACCCTTGGGCCAGCCTGCCTTCTGTTTTCTGCCCCCTTAGCTTTTTTCTTGACAGGAGCGACTACTCCACCCTCTGAGGTGTCTACACTCCCATCTACCTCTGTCTTTTCCCCAAGGTCAGAGAAGTTGTCAGTCTCAGTCACTTGACCTTCGTGGTCAACGAACATGAGGTTGCACTTCTTTCTCCAGTCCTGAGGAAGCTTCTTCTCCTTCCATTTGTCGGTCCCTGCGGGGCACTCCCAAGCTTAGCCTCTATGTCTAAGGCCTTCTTGCTGAATGAGGCGAAGTTATGTACATCTATGGAGGCCTCATCGACCAACTTATTTTTGACATATGTGGCCAAACATCGCAAATAAGTTGTGAGGAGGACCTGCGGATCGTACTGCACACCAAGAACAACAATCAGTCACTCTACAACGTCTGTAACCTCGCAAACTGTTCAATATCTTTTTGATCCTAGACTAGCTAGCGAATCGGTGGCCTTCTGAGCCCCTTGGTTGTCATGCCACCTATTATAGACCATTCGTATGAACTCTTCCAACGCCCGAGCGTGTGCCCAATCATCGAAGTTCTGAATGTATCCTTGCCGCTGTACTATTTCGTTCAGCCATCTGGCTGCAGATCCTTCTAAAAAGGATGCAACAACTATAACTTCTTCCTCGGTCCTTGTGAGCTTATGCCTCACGTACGTGGGCATAGTCCTCACCCAGGTATCCAGGTCCTCTTCCTTCTTCTTGTCGCCAGAGAAGGGTTTAGGACTTAGCAAGGGTA